ATCGTCAACAGATAAGAAAAGTCCAGTGGCCCAGATTCAAATTTTTGCTTATTTACCAGATGACTGAGAATCTACACACACAAGTAGCAGTCAAATGGTTGATTTTTGCCGTTTGGGGAATAAAGAAAAAAAAAAAAAACCCAGCAACAACATGAAAAGCGGCGCAACGCTAGCAAGGTTTGCCCTCACCATTCCTGCCAGAGCGATGAGAGTGGACTGGACCTGAGTATGGTTGACATTCTCAAACAAGTCGTTGGCCTCAAAGATGTCGTGAGGTTTCAGGCCGTACTCTGTGATGGCACGGACAAAATTGCCGATGTTTTCCAACTGCGGAAGACAAAAGACGATGAAAATTAGTCGGAAAATGGGTCGATCGACGCTTGACATATTGCAAACGCATGAAAATAAGTGAAAAAAAAAAAATCAATCAGGAATATATTCTAACGCTTACGACAGTATCACAAATAGTTTGTGTCAAAAATTACAGACCAGGGGTGGGGGGACAAACCTTTTGCAGAACGAGAGCTACTTCTTGGCTACTGACAACAGCCAAGGGGCTACCGCTTTTGTTTTTGGAATGTGACGATCGATGTGAAGATTTTCAACAAAGGACCTCCATAGTACGATGAAAATTAGTCGGAAAATGGGTCGATCGACGCTTGACATATTGCAAACGCATTAAAATAAGTGAAAAAAAAAGAATCAATCGGGAATATATTCTAACGCTTACGACAGTATCACAAATATTTTGTGTCCAAACTTACAGCCCGGGGGTGGGGGGACAAACCTTTTGCAGAACGAGAGCTACTTCTTGGCTACTGACAACAGCCAAGGGGCTACCGCTTTTGTTTTTGGAATGTGACGATCGATGTGAAGATTTTCAACAAAGGACCTCCATAGTACAGTCTTTTCGAAACATAGCGTACATCGCGAGTGAGTTGAAGCGGGGGGAGACCCAGGATGAGTTGATCGGCAAACCGCCACACCGACGGACAATCGTCAATGAAACTAACTCGGAATTGGAATGTGTGAACAGTTCAGAGTGACCGTGCGATACAACGGAGACCGCGCGACAACGGCGTCTGCCGTTACCTGGTGCCAGTTTTGACTGGAGTGGTTGATCTTTTTCACAGAGCCCGGCTGGAGAACATTAACCAGTCTACAAAGAAACAGAGAGACATGAAAATGCTCGACAGAAATCTTCAATTCCAATGAGAGATGCGAGAGCATCACACGGCCGTGTGAAAACAGAATCAGGCGCTCTGTCTCCGCAAAGACGATCGTGTTCCGTTTGGACTGATGCTGTCCCACAGAATGTTTACAATTATGGTTGTCCTTTGCATTGATGTACAACTTCTCCATCATTCTACCTAAACCTTCTACATGATTCTTCTCTTCGTTACAGACGTGTGTCAATGCGGAGCTTTTGGTGCAGCTTTAATGTTGGAGAACCTTAAAATGGCCCTTTCGTCCTTCTGAGAGCATCACACGGCCGTGCGAAAACGGGATCAGGCGCTCGGTCTCCGCAAAGACGATCGTGTTCCGTTTGGACTGATGCTGTCCCACAGAATGTTTACAATTGTGGTTGTCCTTTGCATTGACGTACAACTTCTCCATCATTCTAACTAAACCTTCTACATGATTCTTCTCGACGTTACAGACGCGTCAATGCGGAGCTTCTGGTGCAGCTTTTATGTTGGAGAACCTTAAAATGGCCCTTTCGTCCTTCCATTTGTCTGTCTGGACAGCCCAGCCCCGAAATGAATTGTGACAGAGCATCACGGGGTCTAAGGATACCGCATCCATGTGGAAATGGCAGAAAAAGTCACAGGAATCAAAAATCTTTTGGCGTACGAGCGAGACGAGAACGCTCCCTTACTCGCAGAGCACGACTCCATCTTTCAGACTCTCCATGAAGTTTTCTCCAATCTTCTTGCTGGTAACATCCTGAATCCACAGCCTGAGTGCCTCCTCCATGTGAGGGTCATACTTGCCTGCCAACTGAGGACAGAGCAGAGGTGAAACGACACGATTCGGGAGAAACTCAGCTTCACCCAAAAGTCTTTGACGCACGTTGCTTGCTTTCGATTACTTGGCGGATCACTGTTGGACAGGAAACAAATGTGGATCCACCCGTCACTTTATGATCTCAGTGTAGTTGTTTACAACAGTTTTGTGGTCCGCCGCGAAACTATTTGAATGTGCTGCTTTGAATGGCGAGGTCAAAAATGGCCCATTTGATCGGCATCTGCTTTTGTATTTCGTAATTGCCTCCAATTGAGATGACTGCAATGTTTATTTTCATGGGGTTTTAAAATCTCTGCATTGGGTCACAAAAACAATTGACAACCAACAAAGTCCTTTTTTGGCATGGACGATGATCAAACGGGAGAACAATTTGAAGGGGGGGCGCGGGGGAAGAGAGATTTGCAAAAGCGCTTTGGTTGTCCATGGAAAGACTGCGGTGGCGTCAAAAAGGACCTGCCTGCAAGAGAACCTGTCGCTTCGATGACACAAGAAACAATGACGACCAAAATGAACACGACAACAATCCACGCGTTACTTTTCTTTGGAAAAACAGAAAGTGGCGCACCATATATGTCTTGAAAAAAAAAAATGTTGACATGACGTGACAAGGAAAAAGCTCTGTGGACCCTCGTCTACTTTGTCCCCTTTTCCCGACTGCGTCATAGAGAAGTCCTGACCGTCTGACATCAGTCGCCAACATAAGCAACCTTTCCAAGCCGAAGGGATGGGGATGGCGTCGCTTCCACGAGATCACACCAAACTTGGGAGAAACAGCTTTCCCAGACACTCCACCAGCGCCCCCCCTCCCCTCCCCCCTCCCTGACTAACCTACTCTCTTTTGTCGACTGGCCAAGCTCATATTTCTCACTGCCTCTCGCTCAGTCTGGCTTTTTGCGAGTATTCCCTTTTACAGTGAATGGCATTCAGCCTGATAGAGACAAGCCAGCACGGGAAGGCCCCCGCTTCCAGCCGAGGTGCTTCAGTTGGATTGTTTTACGTTACGGCGTCGCCGAGTCCGGACCTGATTTTATTTTTTGCGGGCATAGCCAATCGATCTGATTGGGGTATGAACCGGAATCAAGATAAATGCCGCAGCGCATGAATGATCATTCAGAAATGGCAAACGGGGCCCGATGTATTCAACTTGCAAACGCCATCGATATTTGGGCTGGGCTTCCAGCCAAGGTGCTTCAGTTGGATTGTTTTACGTTACGGCGTTGAGTCCGGACCTGATTTTATTTTTTGCGGGCATAGCAAATCGATCTGATTGGGGTATGAACCGGAATCAAGATAAATGCCGCAGCGCATGAATGATCATTCAGAAATGGCAAACGGGGCCCGATGTATTCAACTTGCAAACGCCATCGATATTTGGGCTGGGGATTGGACACAACCTCACGACCCAACGCCGTCCATGTGGATCTCGAGACGTGGCAATCGAGGGGATACGCGTCCCGATATTACTTTACATACGCCGTATTGTAAAGAGGCCCGCAACGATAAATTCCCGGATCGATTTTTTTGAACACACACCGAGCGGATCAACTAAGAACTCAAAAGGAAAAGTTTTTTTTTCCCCCCACAATCATTTCAAGGTACACTTGAATGAGCTGAACATTGAACGTACTGTGTATAATGGGTCTTTATGCGAAAATGATGACGGCACTAAAATTCCATTATTTACTGATTGTTTTTACAAAACACATTTAAAATACAAGCAAGCGTCGCTTTCCTGATCAAAAAGAAATCGTTTTGGAGTGGCAAATGGGCCATCCCAGCTGGCCGATCCTTTTAATAGGAACCTATTTGTGGAAAAAGTCAATTAGACCATCATTAGAAAGAGAGCCCTGCAGTGAATATCTGCAACTAAAATCTTCACACTTGAAAAGGTTTGGAACGACATACATGCACATGATGGCAATGAATCCCTTTTTTTTTTTTTTTTTTCAATACGAGGCCATGGCCTGGCTAAAGGAAGCTCCACCCTTCACTTACAACAGTTCCTCGGCACCTAGATGGCATGGAAGCAATCTTTTGATGACTGACTCCGTTACTATGATGTTGGCTTTATCCAGGTCCTCCGGCTTCATCAGAGATTGCAAAAATATGCACGGGAAGTTCATTGAGAACAGGCGTGAATGTGGGTGTCACTGGCTGGTTGTCTCTATGTGGCCTGCGATTGGCTGGCGACCAGTCCAGGGTGTACCTCGCCTGCTATCCAGCTCGCATAGGCTCCAGTTAACCCGTGACCCAAATGAGGACAAGTCCAACAGAAACGGAGATATTTGGAAAATGCATACAAATCGACTTTCCAAGCAACCTTCCGAAAATTGGATTTTTTTTTTTTTAGCCATGAGAATTTTCTCTTGATTGCAAACTGATCAAGAATGTATGAACTGCACCCCTGCTGGTCATAGCGAAGGTGCTGCACATCGGGCCTGAGAGGTTTCAAGATGCAATTATTGGAAGAATCCCCTGATGTCCAAGACCAAGGAAACGCCGATCAAAGGCGCAACACATTGGTTTTATTATCAATCGCTTTTCCAACCGATGAATGAAATTAGTGAAACATCACTTACACAATACCTCAAAAGTTTGAACTGCTTCATGTTAAAACACCGATCAAAGGCGCAACACATTTGTTTTATTATCAACCGCTTTTCCAACCGATGAATGAAATTAGTGAAACATCACTTACACAATACCTCAAAAGTTTGAACTGCTTCATGTTATTGCCGTCAATTCTTATCACAAAAATCAATCCCGATCCAAACGAGTCGAATAGAATTCCGGATTGTAAGATGCAGTATTTCCGATGGGTCCATCGGATTTCCTTTAGCGTTCCGCGTTGGCAATACTTTGTCTGGACGAGCCAAGCCGGTGTCCCCCTGCGTTCTGTCAGGACAGTGTTTTGTCATTCTTGACTTCCATGTAAACGATTGAAGCTAAACACACTTTCTTGAGTTCCGAGCGAGGGCACCGGTCACTCCATAAAAGGCCGTTTGTTTATGACTGATGGTCCCCCCCGTCAGTCTCCCGGCCGCACGCGTGCCTCCTCCCTGACTTCAGCACGCTGGAACGTACCATCCGACTGTCGTCGGAGGACTCCGTCAGCACAACAAAATAACTCTGACCTGGCAACAAAGCATCTCCGATAGCCACAAAGAACAACAACGTGCCCGTCTTCGTACAGCCCGAGGATGACGACGATGGGATCGCTGTTGGAATCACTACAGTCTGACCTTCTGCACACCGAAGATGAGCTGCTCTGATTCATCGCAACATACAATGGCCAACTGAGAGTGGAAACAAAGCAAATTGCCGTGTCATCGAATCCTGCTTATTGGAAGTTGATGACAGAATATTCTTGACAGTTTACACAGACGTGCCACTTGTTTCGGCTGCCTTTTACATTTTTGAAGTCATTCATATGCGTTACCCCATCTTGGAAAAACTCTACACAATCCTGGTCATTTCTAACATCATCTGGAGCATTTCCAATCAAGATTAGAACAATTTTAGAACACTTTTGGACTGGAATGTAGCCTCCCCCCACCCCCCGAACTTGCAATTCCATTTTATTATTTGCCCCTTTGTGTCATTATTTCCAGCCGAAAGACCAACGCCATTTTATTGATCATCATTCAGGCACACCATTTCTTGGCAAATGGCTTTTAGTCCATTTTCGTTGGAATAAATTTTTTGGTGTCGAGTTGTGTGGTTTTATTAGTTTCATTAAAATCCTCCGGAAGAACCACATTTATAATTTGGATCAAATTTGGCAAACCGTGTCAATACAATTAATCAACTCCTTTAAAATGCCACGCATTAAACAGCCACCGCTGAAAGGAGAATTTCAACTTCATGATCGCAATCGTGGTTCTCACGAAAGTCGGTATGCAATCCAAAGGTGGCGTCTTTTAAAACCTGCAAGCACTTACCATGGACCTTGAAATACATAGTCAAAAGTTCGAACCACTTCTTGTTCAACGGCGTGAGCAAATCTTTGACAGACGCTGTACTCGGAACCGCAACATAGTCAGGCCGTTTGGGTCAAAGAGGAAAACGCAGCATCATTGACGAACTGTTCTCAAACACGCGCTGCTTTCCAAGTCAACCACTTTTTTTAATCATGCTAAAAAGTCAACAAAAAAGAGACCCCAACATCTTACCTTACTCTTGACCTCGGCGGAAAGTCCGAACGCTGGTCCACTCCTGAAATGTTGCGACATGGTGCTGCTGAGTTTCTATTTACAATGAGAGCGGGGGTAGGGCTTTAAAAATGGACGCACAGGTCAAGACTTGTGAGAGTCCAGCACAAAGCACAAAGCAAGCAGGCGGGAAAGTCCCCAACTAATCCGCAAGTATCTTATTTTATTCGGAGCCGTTCCGTTTGGACCTGGTCCTGAAGTGTGGAAGCAACTTTCCGACACTTTTCAGAATGTGTTTTAAACGCTTCCCAAGTGCGTCGCCCGCGATTGGCCGAGGCGGCCGTCCAATCGCCAAACGGCTTCCTCATCGAAGCCAGTGATGTCATCGCTTTGGTATTCCATCCAATCAGTCACTTTTTCCACTTGCGAGCCGCTCAAGGGGATGCTTCGCGCTGATGTCGAGATACACTTTGGTCGAGTTATGTCACTGTCTTACGTGAGTGAAAAGACATAAATATGTATTTTCAAATCAACAGTCACGTCATTGTGTCTGGTTTAAGTAACGGGTCGACTGTAGCCTCCAAACTGAGATGCAATTTTATTCCGTCGATAGTGAGCGCCGATAAATGTGTCAGTGTCCTATTTAAAAAGAAGAAATATTTATTTCGTTTATAAGAAATATACATTAATATGGAAATCCACAAACCGTGGAATAGCGGTTCGAACATCCACCTCGCAGTTCTGAGGTGAAGAGTTTGAATCTGGGTTCCAGCTTCCCTGTGTGAAGCCTCCAAAGTTCTTCTCGTGCTTGCGTGCATACAGTACTCTATATATAGAATAAGCAAGAACGTTTTGGAGCTCATGAACAGTTTCTAACACATGCACTGGGAATTAGGACTACTCTATATGAGAATGAATTATCCCCCCCCCCCCTCCAGATAGTATGCGTGGACATAAGAGAAGGTTCCAGAATGAGAATCAAAAGAGGCAGATGATGAGTGGTGCTTGCCTCCCTCTGTACATACTGATTCAAATTCAAGTTCAACCTTGGTCCCATTGGAACAGTCTTCTTTCTCACAGTCCTGGAGGTGTTTTCTGCTTCTCACTTAAGAGTCTCCTGTGGGTCCACCCACCATGAAGCCCAGATTAGTAGCAGACTGCTATCCTGGGATTCCCTCTTGAACTTTTCTCTCGGTCTTTCCTCCCTGTACACGCAAGATCATCCATTTCTTGGTCAACATTTTCTCGGAGGCTCTTTGCTCCCGATTGCTCCTTTGTCCATACGATCAACTTTGGGAAGTGTCTTGGTTGTCCCACAGTTCTGGCAGTAAAAAAAATAATAACTCACGCGATGATTTTGAGAAAATGAAGCATAAGTTTTTTTTTTCCTCTCTTAGATCTATGGCTGGCTTCGTGGTTCTTTCCACCTCATGACTTTTTTTTTTAATGGCTCGAATCAGCATCAAGATCAATGACAGGATTCCATTTTAAGTTTCTTGTTGGAATATTCAATTGCATGGCCATTACGCTTATTAGTATATGATCATTTAATAATCTTTGGAATATTATAGGATGGAGGCTGTTTTGAGCAGCTTTCTCTTCATCATATGGTGTCGAGGATCTTTAGATCTCACAAAACATCAGTCGGAATCTGTAAATTGGTTTGGATACGCGGACTAACTTGGTATCGTGTGACTTTTTCCTCCAAAATGTCAAAACCTGAATGGTAAAACGCGGTCTGAATATTTAAAAAAAAAAAGTCAGCCCTGACAAATATCTTTTGCACTCACGTTACAAGGAATGCAAGCATGCCTGATGCTTATGATTTGACTTGGAATTGACCAGGCTAAGCCTGAACTCTCTCAATTACGTTATGTTTCCTTTTTTACACAGAGTAAGCCCTCTGACCTATTCTCTCTCCATCTCCCTGAGTTTCAGGCGCACGCACGCACCCACGCACGCACCCACAAAGGCGGCTGACAGTGGAAGGAATGCAGCGGATTCGGGGGGCTTTGCGGAGCAGAGTGACAGAGGAGGTGGCTCCCCAGAGAGAGAGCGTGATTCACCCTCATGCTCTCTCTTTTGTTTGTCACTAGCAGACACATGGGCGACATGCCAATCCAATACAGGGGAGGGAGAGGCTCGGTGGTGTGGGGGTACAGAATGGACAGATGGCACACAGAAAAATGAGAGTGCACACACACACACACACACACACACACACACACACACACACACACACACACACACACACACACACACACACACACACACACACACAGGATGTCAAATGATGTACCGTGGCAGTCTTTCACTCACCCGTGAAGTTTCACTGTTCTCTTACAACAAATTTGTCTTGCACATCTCATTAAGGATTTCTTGCAGCAACGTCTGGCAGCTGATGGATCGGCATGCAATGCTGGATGACATGAAATAATTAGACAATTTATGGATATATATACAATTGATTCTGGGACCTCCGGTCCATATTTGGCACCGATGTTCTCGTACGCTCTCCCTGCTACCCGCTTGTGCTGCTCCACGTACGCCTTGCCTGTCTCCATTTTACACCGTGTTATATACTGCGCCTGTCTCTGGGATTTCTTTGCGCATCCTGCACGTGGGGTACAAGACTGTCTGACTGCCCCGATTAGTGCCTACGTGCCGTCTTTCAGTTCAGCCTTCGCAAGCCGCTGGTATATTTTGTTGACTCGTTATCGAGCCTCTTTGGTTGCACACAAGCCATTCCGAGGCAAATAGAAATTTTGAATCGCAAACGTATTCCCGATACTGTATATTTGTAAGACATACATCATTGTGAAGGCGATTACCATCAATGCGCCCGCGAAATGAATTGCAATGGTTATCTTTCAAAAGTGCATCCTCTCTTTGAATGAAAGGGAATCTGTCGATGGTGGACCTCCTTCTTCTCGAGTCAGGTGGGTGAGAACCACCCATCTGACACTTGATTTGGATACGCTGCATAGGAGATGGGCTGAATACAAAAGGTTGAGCAACATGCGTTATTCAGCTCTTTATGAACCCATGACACACACACACACGCACACACACACACACACACACACACACACACACACACACACACACACACACACACACAAATACACACATAGAGCGAGAGTCCTATAAACATTTCAGATAGAAGAAGAGGCAGCACACTTGTGGAATGGACACTTTATTTGGGCATGATGGGAGAAGCGAGAGGCCCGGCCGGCCGACTGAGAAATAATGTCTTGTGAAAAAGGAATCCCTCACGCTAAAAATAACAGACTCGGGTTTGATATTTACTGCGTAGTGTGGTCGATTGTTTACGTTGGCTCAGACTCCGCCTGACGTCTCATCTAAATGGCTACTTGTGGCTACTTGAAATGTGTCGCATAGTATCACATGCAGCGTGACCGGTGAGTAATAAGAACTTGTTTGAGGAAAAGACGTCTTGCGAGTTTGAGGATAGAAAGTAAAACGGCAATGGCGGTTGTATTTATAATCACACTAGGCAATTTAGCCACTGATGTTTACGCGTCTATATTTTTCAAAAGCCTAATTTGGAAGACCCTGAACATCAGCGGCACTGAAGCTGTTTATATTACCCTGTGATCATTTGCAGTTTTTCCTTTCCACTGGCACTAAAACACATTCGCGTGGCACATTCCAGAAAGAGTATTTCAGGGCGTTCCAATACATCACTGGCCGAACACCTTCAAAAAAGGCACTTTAAATTGTTGGGGGGGGGCAGATTAAACACGGAATGAATGAGATTGCAAACAAAGGTGTGCAAGGACTGAAACGGTGGTGAAAGGATGCAAAACTACTGGATGGCGGAAGGAGCGGAGATAAAAGGGGATTAGAGCACTTTGAGAAACTGGCTTTTCCCCAGCCACCAAGCCCTCTCCTCACTCTGCTCTGCCTTGCTATTTATGGTCGAAGGCCTCAAGATCCTGGACAACGAAGAGGAGGTCTGAAGGCTGAGTTCACGGCATCATAACTCCTACCTGTGGTTGAGCTTAGACAGGAAGCATCAAACAAAACTGCATTTGGTCAATTACATCAACTCAGCTTTGACTACTCAATCTTCAGGCCACCTCATGCAATCCACGCCTACTTTTGACCATTCTGTCCATCCCGTCATCGCTCTATTTTCATTGTTTATCCTGTTAGCATTTCACATTTACATTGCGTATCCAGTAATCGAAACCAGAGCACCATTTGTGTGAATGCTTACCTTTCAGCATTCACACCAAGAATGCCATTTTTACGTTGCATGTTAACTTTATTTGCATTCCAACTGCTTGTTCAGCTGTTCAAGAATTTCAACTATTAGAAATGTTTCAACAACACTCTTTGGCCAACATGTTTAAAAAATAAAAAGCCTCCTCCGCTTTAAACCTCTTGACATGAGGTTAAGTTATTTTTGATCCCGCAAGCTGGCAGGCTGGGATGGGCTCCTGACAGAAGACATCTCCAGGGTGAGGTCGCTGATGGCACTAAGGTGCCACTCGTTAACAAGCTGCTCTAAAAAGTTATTTCGATCAAATGCCAGGCGGAGGCTTTCAGCACCTTGTAAAAAAAAAAAAAAAAAAAAATCGTCTTGGTTTATAGCCACTCTGATTTCTGGAATGTTGTTTCTTGTTTTGTTTTTGTTTCTCCAAGTCTGGGAAAGCTCTTCAACACACGTTCCTCCTGAAATATCATTCGGATCCGTTTGTATACGAAATTAACTGGTGCAGTATACTATAGTGGCCGGTTGTTGCTCATAAAGCACGGATTCAAAACACATATTGCAACTTGTAAAAGGAGAAAGAGTAGACCTGACATTTATAGAGATGTGAAGTCAATTCAACCTGCCTTACAAAAGTCAGCTTACATAGGCTGCAGATCTCATTTGCGAAGGATCTAAAAACATATATGGTGATCTTGCAATGTGATAAAATGAATTAATCGGCTTTGTCTGTCTGGTTATGGAGCAACTGATGCATTTTTGTGTGTGTGTGTGTGTGTGTGTGTGTGTGTGTGTGTGTGTGTGTGTGTGTGTGTGTGTGTGTGTGTGTGTGTGTGTGTGTGCATTCATGTACAGGTGTCGGTTGGTGTTCCTGTGGCGGCACACTTTAGTAGCGGGAGAAATTCTCATTGAGTCTCTTGTTACTGTACGTGACCATGTTTGGTAAAGCCGCTCACACAGAATTCTGACCAAGCCCCTTAAGGTCGCTCGAAGCTCTCACGTGCACAAACAGCCGAGATCGCCTCGATCTACGGAGGCTCCCCCTTCCGGAAAGTTCACGTTCTAGCCTTTTCTTTTTAATACTGTGCTGTAGTCCTGCACAGCAGTGGTCCCCGACCTTCTTGTATCACGGACCGGTTGAGACAAGTACATGCTGTTTTTTTCATGGTCAGTTTTAAAGCACCGGTACTGACAACAACGATAATTATCGAGTACTGTTATTCAACATTTTATTAACGTGCATTTCCTTTCAAACAGTGTTATTCTACTGCACAACAAATGTAGAATAAAACAAAATAACATAGTGAACTACTAAGAAATTGACTAATAAGGAATAATATACACGCCTGAAAATAGAAACAAACATTTTTTTTTACGTTACGATCCTACCTGCGGCGTTAGCATCATTGCTACTTGAAAATGGCAGACGATTGATTGCTGCTTTCATCCGGTGGCTGTCGGCGAGTTATTAGCGACTAAATTGCTAATGTTTGCATTTTTCCATGCTTTCCACTTGATCACTTGGGTGCACTTGTTAAATCGTTTTCTTGGATTGTCTTGTCTTTTTTTTGACGACATACCACAACAGCTTCCTCGTCCACGTCGCTCTGGCAGGAACTCTCTTGTCCAAATCGCTTCATCTTCGAAAGTCATGGCTGCCCATCAGCTACGCGTATAAACCTGTACGTTTGGTAATTCGTTACAATTACTTTATGTTTACTTCTTCTAAAAAAATAATGCTAATGGTGACAGGTAACGCGCACGCGCGCATGAGCACACATAAATCCTTGTTTGGAGCAAAATGGAAAGCTTTGAGGTTAAACAAAGTTCGACACAAGGACCAACATCAGAGGCATCAGCAGCTATTTTATTTCCGTCTTCAAGTTTATTGAAGAGCATTTTCAAGTAAATCTCATGTTTTCATCTTTACATGGTTATTGTTGATAACAACCATTATATTTCCACGTCATCGAGAAATCGCCATCAGAAGAATCCCCAAAAATAAGCCTCTGCGTGGTCGAGGCTGGCTCACCCAAAAAAAAACAAACAAACAAACAAAAAAGATCTGGAGGAACGCACGAAACCAAAGTCTAACAAAAGGCATTCCATAAAAAAGGCGATGGAAGAAAAGAAAAACAAGACACGGTGGTAATCCGTTACAAGTGTTAAATTGATTTGTCTACGATATTTCCAGTTATAAGATGATCATTCAGGAGGTTCTTACAAATGTCCTGACTGTGACTTTGCAATTCAAGTCATTCAATGTGATCAAGTGAACATAAAACAATGACAAACAACTGTCTACAAACCATGCATAATCTCCAAGACAAGTTAAGTACCCAACCGTGATACTGCTTTTTCAAACTGTACCTTGTTAACCCCAAGCCAAAGGACAGCGTGACAATTAGCACCCGGTCGACATCATCACAAATTAGGATGGTATGTGATCTATTCATTTTAGATCTTTGTATATACTGTAGTATTAAACACTGGCTTTACAATAATTCCTGTATTCTGATCACGTTGGCCTCCTCAAAAAAATAATGAAAAAAAAAGAAAGGCAAAGTGGTTTTCAAACCTGATAAAACAGTAAACACGCTTAATATCTTGAGCAGCCTTCTGGAAACAATTCGTTTTTGACCAGTCCCAACATGTGCGATTAAGCACGTTTGCAGCTGTTTTAAATTAGAAAAAAAAAAAAAAAGAAAAAGAAAAAACCCTGACAACAGTTCCAACAGTCCAGTCCATTAACAAGCAGACCTGGTTTAATTTTGACTTTGTGCACGAGTCAAAATCCCAGCAATTAGGATGGTATGTGATCTATTCATTTTAGATCTTTGTATATACTGTAGTATTAAACACTGGCTTTACAATAATTCCTGTATTCTGATCACGTTGGCCTCCTCAAAAAAATAATGAAAAAAAAAGAAAGGCAAAGTGGTTTTCAAACCTGATAAAACAGTAAACACGCTTAATATCTTGAGCAGCCTTCTGGAAACAATTCGTTTTTGACCAGTCCCAACATGTGCGATTAAGCACGTTTGCAGCTGTTTTAAATTAGAAAAAAAAAAAAAAGAAAAAGAAAAAACCCTGACAACAGTTCCAACAGTCCAGTCCATTAACAAGCAGACCTGGTTTAATTTTGACTTTGTGCACGAGTCAAAATCCCAGCATGCCCCACGTGTCCTACTGACCTCGGGATATCGTCCGCTTTCATGGTCCTTGACGGAACGCTACTATGGTTCGAGTTTATTCACAGCTTTGAGGAGGCTAACGTAGTGAGACACCAGCCTACCGTTTCATGATCCCATTTCAAGATCTCATGCCCAAAAAATAAATATATCTCGATTCCATTCCTCATCGCTCTGGATACCGTGAGCGCTGCTCATTGAACCCATGACGACATTCATGGAGACGTGGCCCCGTCCGTCTGCGGTCGAGGGGCCAAACAGAACAATGACATGACAGCCTCCTTGATCATCTTTGGATTATATTAATACTTGGCCGGATTAATCATTGTGCAGGCATATTATAAAAATATACAGTATGCATCGAGTATACACATGGAATACAGAGGAGTACATAAATGACAATCATATCAGAGGATATTCGCATTAGAAAGCTCATGCTTATCAAAACGTGAGTCCATGTTTCTGTAAAAGGCACCTGATGTGTCAGCCTCTCCTCTGTGGTGACGGACAGAAATCCAGGAGGTCAAGAGTTATTGCTCCATGGGGAGTGTGCTTTTCGCTCTCTCGCTTTTTTCTTTTTTTTTGGAACTCTACAGCAAAATGTCCAACATTCCGCCACTGTCCGTCCACTGAGAAATACAACGACTAATGTCGAAAAGGAAACATGCAGACGACTTCCATGCCTGCCCGTTATCTGGCTATGCTCGTGTGGGGCTGCGCTCAAAATCGGAACCACTGGCTCGTACATGTATCAGTTTGCCACACAGAGTGAGCAACCGGATAGCTACCGTGCGTGTAGAGAGACATGCCGGGCGAGCAGAAAAAAAGAATCCTAACAAGTGCATGCATTCACTATGTTCAGAGCAAAAGGTGCAATTTATGTAAAGGTGCCATTTATCGATACGGATTATTCCTTTCCTCAAAGGCGTGGCAGCCATTGCCTCATTTCCACCTTGCGGTTCACATTTCCATTGAAAAGGGTCCCAGAATATTTGAACAGAACTTTCAGTATTCCTGTGGATGAGTTCCGGTCACAATGGTTATGTTTTGGAAGTACGTAGTAGTCGATTGGCTAGCTTGGCCGTGTTACAATGGAATGAACTGAAAAGCACCATTTAAAAAACAGAATAAATTCCGACTTATTCTTCAAGGAAAACTCAAAGCCGCGTTGCTCGTTTCGAGTTGGCGTCGGCACACCGCCCTGTGCGGTGCTGCCTTTTGTTTTATTTTCTTGTTTCATGAACTGGCAAATTCTGAGCGCCTGTTGCAATGCCAGGATGGAGCCAATTCATGTTGCGCCACAGCGCAGTCTGGTTCGATGTAGCTCAAATTCCAAAATCTGCAGGTCGGGATTTACTGATCCGAACTGTACTGTGGTACACCGCAGTGTATCGTTTGGATGGAAGGAGGATCATGAACGCCGTCATGCTTTACAGAAATACAGAAATGAAAATACCAACATGCTGATTGGCGCACTGCCTCTGACAGAGGTCCACGTTTGGCTCGGTTTCAGATGATGCATTCAAAAATGAATTTAATTTGAAACTTTTACTTTTTAAAGATGACACATTGCTTGGTGAAATTGAAAAAAATAACTAAATAAAAAGAGCCAAATGAGAAAAGAAAAACCACCATGCTGGTGTGAAAGAGCAAAGAAAAGACTGCTCCCCCCCCCCCCACACACTCATCTACTTGACCCCCCACCTTGATTCGTCTCAGATTTCCTGAGAGATGAAACCTGGGAGAGGAAGAAGTTTCCAGGGTGCCCTGGTTCCTTCAGCACATTTTTACGCCACGGAGTTGCGCCGCGATGGCCGTAGACAACCTTTACCGATGGTTAGCTGGAGCGACGGGCGAAGAAAAAGCTCTCGGGCCCTTTCAACTGACGATATCACCCAAGGTATCATTTCAAAGGCTACATTCACAGTAGAAAGGGGTGGGGGGTTGGGGGGGGGGGAATAAAAGCTTGCTAACGCTGTAAAGCAGGGGGGATGAAATGGTGGAGGTTAAACAAAATGAAATAAAATAACATTTCTGGACAGTGAAACCCAATCCAGTGAGGCAAATGATCTGATGCGTCGAAGATGGGCTCGTTACTCAGACTGGCTAGGGCTTGACGCTATCTAAAAATCAGAGCACAAAGAGGGCTCCAAATGGACAGTTGGACGAGAGGAGCCAAATAAAAAGCTACCGATGTCTGCTACGATGTGTCTCATCTATGACGTTAGTGTTTTTTTTTTTTTTTTCCCCTGGTCGTTCCAATTGGGAGTGGCTTATGAGGGCCGTGGCTGGTGACAGGTCCAAAGAGGCCACGCACTGTAGACGAGGCATGATGGTCTTGTTCCTTTTTAGGTGAGGTCTGCTGTGTTAAGGATAAGAGCCCTGTCAATTCACAAACTTCGTATGCGCCTCAAGTGCTACAGCGTGGGAGATTTTGACTGTTAAAACCGCGCGGCCTTGTTCAAGCACGACGAGCCTATTGCTTTCCTGTCGTTGGCAGGCACTTCAGCGGATTGGGCTTTGGCTGACGTGAGAGGAGACTCGAAAGGTGGAGATGAGGAGCTGTCATGTGAACGGAAGCCGGGGAGAGGGGGGGCGAGAAAATGCGCTCGTGAGCGTTGTCTCGTCATCCGCAACAAAAAGCAGCACTTATATGCTAACCTGCCTGTGAAAACCACCCAGGCTGAGAAGGCTGGTGCTTGATTGAGTCCCCGTGTGGCGTCTCCGGGTGGGAACCTGAGGACTTAGAGCCCCTTCTACTGGCCAACTTGAGGAAGTTCGAGGGCTGAGCTTGAGGATTTGAGGGTGGAGACGGACAGTCCTTGATGTGCAGCCTCTCCCCCTGCGCGTGTCCCCCTGTTCGCTTTCAGTCCGCGTGGTTGTTGGCATGCTTCTTCTTGTCCGAGCGGGTAGATGCCTCCGCTTGTTCTTGACCTTTCTGCGCTTTCGATCCGGCCAGTACTTTGTAGCAACCTCGCGTGATCTTAAACATCCAGATAGTGTTCAAGATATCCAGGGCCACGCAGGAGGTGATCCAGGCTACTTGGGCGCCCGATCCCAGGCGCTCAAAGTCTTCAGTGCCAAATGTGGAAAATACGCTGGCCCAATAGGACGGCATGACGGCAATCCGCACCAGGAAAAAGACCACCGTCATGGCGACGCCATTGACGACCACCATCCTGTTTGAGCGGGGGTATTTTAATGCTTCGAAGAACCACCTAGAAGGACAAGAGTGGTCAGCTACATGCAAAGCAAAAGGTGCAACAGAAATAAGAAGACTGAAGATTTCTTTTGGGGCGGCACGGCAGGCGACCGGTTAGCACGTCCGTCTCACGGTGCAGAGGGGTTCGATTCCAGCTCCGCGCTCACCCCCACAGCGCGGGACAATTTAGAGTGTTCAGTCAGCCTGCCACGCGTGTTTTTGGAATGTGGGAGGAAACCGGAGTACCCGGAGAAATCCCACGCAGGCACGGGGAGAACATGCAAACTCCACATCGAACCCACGACCGCTGCACTGTGAGGTCGACTCGCTAACCACTCGACCACAAGTATGCCAATTTTATTAAGTTTTTTTATGAAAGAAGAAGTCAACTCCCACGTTTTCTTTACAATAATACGTAATAATAATTAAAGTGGCCCTTTCATCTTTCCATTTTTCTGTATGTGGGCCTCAAACGAAAACGTTTGGATACCCCGCCTGTACACTATGTGCATGTAAGGTGCAGGTATTGTTTTTGTCCACAAGGGGGAACCGTCATCCCCTTCACAGTCCACATTGTGGGGATCTGTGATGCTCAATGTTTACCTTCCTTTGAAAAGTGGGTTTGGCTTGTTGAGCGCTGCGGAAGTAAGGAATGAGGACGCACAGCTGGCTGGCTGTTACGTGGTTTTAGCGTTAGCCGCTGTGTGTGCCGAGTGGTGGTCTCACTTGAGGTGATTGGCTGCAGGTCAGCTAAGAATGTGACTTGAGGTTGTGTGTAAAACAGTCACATCCGGGTCAATTCCTTGCACAACTTGCATTGCTCGCCTGCGCGTCGGCTGTAACCATGAACATTTGCTTTGTTTTGAATGACAGCACCGTAGTTCTCACGTTCTCAGCAAAGTCCATTATGTCTCACTATTTAAGGATACGAGGTTGCGGTAAAGGTTGATGTGGAGTAGATAATGACCAGTTGTGTAGCTTTTGGGTGTGGTTCTATTGAAAAGTCAAAACTTGGCATAACTAGGGTTGTCGAGTGACTGTTACTCACAGAGGCAATCTTGACAGTTTGGCACGAATCTGTTTATATTATCGTATAATACGGTACATGAGGCCAATGTAATTAAGAGCCGCAATGGCATTGCAATCGGATCCCAATTTCACAGTAATCTTGACGAAAAGCACACACACACACACACACACACACACACACACACACACCAAAAGCCACTCACCTTTGATTCACAAAAGGTGTGGATAGCTCAGAAATGAGACGGAAGTTGGCAAAGTAGGGCAGCACACCGCGCGTCTGAAATCACCCAAAGAAACAGGTCATGACAAATACAAAAAAGTCATTCAAAAGGGGGATTCATAAGAAATTGAGTGCAAAAATGAAGAGGCCTTACCAGCACATATCCATACGCGTAGAGCGCCGCCAAGTGGTGACAGACAAAAAATCTGTCCCCCATCGTGCTCCAATTACATGCAAGCAGCAATAAATCTGAAAAAGAAGGTGAGATGTTTTATGACAAAATAGCATCGAGCCCGTATGCACGAATTCATTCGTGGCTTTCGGAACCAGAGAGGTCAAAACAATTAGGTAAAGGCTTCTGCATGTTTTTGTACTTGGCGTTCATCATTGGTTCGGATTGACCCTGAGCTAGGAGTGATTTGTAAGAGTTGATGACAAAACAACTCACCATAAAGTAGGTAGCCACAGGTTATGGCTACATTTAATTTGACCATACTTGGGTCCCCCCTGCGGGATGGCAAAGAACATGGTGAAAAAAACAATCTGTAAAGAGAACACTTCACACTAATCACGATTCCCATTCAAATTATTCAACAACGATTGTCTTTTGACAATTAAATATACTTCAGCACACCATTAAAGCGGTGATTAAGTGAACCAACGCACGCTAAATAACAACATTTCGTATTTTATGGAAGTATCTGCATCATCACTGACAGCCATGACCTGATGATGACTCTTCGGTGTCCTTGCAAACAGCATCCGTCCAAAAAAAACAACAAGGCTTGCAAAGACACCCGATCCTGGTCGCAGTCACGGTCAGGTGTCGTGTAGCAAATGAGTGGGTTAGCGTCGGCGTAGCAAAGCCCCTCATTTGCACTTTTGATAACATGAGCACTTGGAATGGACGCCGGCTCATGCTCTCCCGAAGATGACCTTAAGATTCCATTGTCCAATTTAAATGGACACCCTCTAAGGAAGTGTCAATTTTAAATGCGCATATTGTACAGGTAGTGCGTGGTGGCATAGCCGACGCGGTGAGTAGAACAGCATTTGTGTATCGGGCGAGAATGTGCAGGTGTGTCTTATCCTGAATTTCCCTGCACGTGATTGTAAATTGCCATAAAACAACCTTGAATTCCCCCTGCCCCGGTCGTAATTCTTGACAAAGCCGCAAAATTGGCTCTCAGTCAGTTCTAGCTTTTAAAATTCTGCAACTGCTCTGTAAATTACTGAATGGTTTTTGAATGCAAATTGAATAAAAATCCATCAGGGCTCTGAGGTCTGCAGACTTGGGTCCAATTACTTTTTTTCGACCCGAGTTTGTTTGGTTGTGGCCGTGCCAGCAGTTGCAGGTGAAACAACACGACTTTTGTATTCCGGCTCTCAAAAATGGTCCGACACAATCCGATTGGCTGACGGATTATTGCTTTCGCCAATGAGGTGTTGCAAGGATGTTGGTCAATCATGAAAGTCACAGACTATGCCGCAATATGCTTAGCTCAAACTCCAACACTTAATTCCAGAAAAAAGAAAAAAAAAATCTGCTTTTCCTCACCTCGTGAAAGGAATTAAAATAAAGGACTCCAGTTCTCAGTACAAGAGCAGATGCAGCTCGGTTCCCCTTTTGTCCCCTCTCGTTCTTAACCAAAGGCCCAGTCCCCCATCGCACCCAATTTCTTTTCTCCCTCTTTCTTCCCTCGGTGAGCCACACTGACTGGGGCCAACAGAGAGACAATACGAGAGAAGGAGGTGCGCCGCATTGATTTGACAGAGACGGAGGGTGTTGCAACGGACACCCAGACAGACAAGGCCGCTGGCGGGGACACATGGGGAGAGGGTGCAGAAGATTAGGCTTGCTATGAAAAGGAGTCTTGTTGGTAGGACTCGAGTGTGTGTGTGTTTGTGTGTGCGTGCGCGCTGGGCGAAGAGGTGGTGGTGAAAAAGAGGAAGGGGAACAGAGAAATAAGGCTACGGAGCAGGAAGCCGTGTTAAGATAGGAAAAGCAAAATGGTAAGAACGATGGCGCTCTCAGAAAGAGTTAAGAGGCATTTCTCTTTTTCAAGATTTCAACAATGAAAGTGGCATTCACTGAGCTAAATGTCTTCGTAGCACTTACCAGACGGGATTGGAGTTGACCGCCTCATCGAAGCATAGGATGTACAAACAAAATAATCCCACAATCAGAGCGTGAACCGTTGACACCAACCTGGGACATAACACATGCATATTGGTTAGAAAAAAAAACACCAAAGTTGTTTAGCACACTGAAAATGCTCAGTGCAAAAAAATAAAAAAGAATGAAATGAGAAGTGATAGTTATGTCGTGGCTCAGTCGCTTTGGAGGTCCAACTATCACACGTAAGAGATGCTAGTTCAAGGCTAAGGCTAAAAGTGCCATCTTCAACTTCGCGTCCCACTTCGGCACGGCCATTTCCGACATGCGTTTTCGTGTTGGCGTTGCGTATCGTGGTTCGAGTGTCCGTACCGCCGTCTGAAACCTCGAGTTTGCCACAACACTCAACGGTTGAAGGTCCTCGCGTTGGAACTCGGCCTTTCCGTTCAATTCAATTCGCGAGTCAGCGGAGGGAGTTGGCAAATCAATATTGAATGACGAGGTATTGCGACGCGCTGACCAATCGATTATGTTTTACCCACCTCTAGTCTGGAACGCCTCGTCTGTTTCCATCTTACATACTTACACGACTGATGACAAATACGGGACTCACCTATCTATCTACGGATGCTTTTCTTTCCGAAAATAAGGACGGTTCCAGCTAACAGTGCCTGCACCGTAAAAAAAAAAAAAAAAAAAATCCAATCAGTTCCTACTGTGAACATGCAACAGCACTGGATGAAACCACGCTCCGTTCACCAACCAATTTGAGCTTCTCAAGTTTGGCACGAGAGTAACTACAAAGATGAGTCAATTAAGTGGTAAAAACGACATGAGAGAAAGGCCACGGAAAGGGCTGAAGGGCAGCAGTCACAAAGTTGGCGTGGTTCTGCTCATGAGACAGACATGCGCCTCTTTCTTCGAACACACTGCCTTCCTTCCTCCTTGCCCTTCACTTGTGCTTACATAACAAACAAGTTGAACGCTCTCTGGTTATGCAACGGTTGGCCGCTATGCAGTCATCCACCAGTGTGGCCCTTTTCAACGTTGTGGGCTGTTAGCGCTCTTAAAAATGTTTACTGTGAGTATTAGTCGCAATGTAATAATATGGAGTCAATAATACGGGGGCGTTATGTAACTACAACTGACCTGTTTGACCTTTGAACTTCACCCCGATGTTTGTGACCGCAGCGTTCCGATCACTGCTGTGACTGGATGGGATCATTCTGCTTTGGTGGAGTGGTAGAGCAGAGCTTTATTTGCTTTCAGAGGCCAACTAAGGTCCAAAATCGGTATTTTCATTCCTCTGTTGACATTGGTTTGAAAATCTCATTGAACAAGGTCCCCCCCCTTTTTTTTTTTCTTGGTCGTTTTGGCCTTTTGGTCAACTGCAAATTAAAAATGATCATGGGAAATCGCCCCCGCCCAGGCAGGGGAAGGATTTTTCAAAGACCCGCATTTTCACCATGAATACTTTTCCTTCGCTTTGTCTCCTTACGTTGTGCTGATGTTACTTTTAGTTTTTCATTTCCATCCTTTGCCTAAGCAACGGCAGCGCGGTGGGCGACTGGTTAGCACGTCGGCCTCACGGTGCAGAGGGTGTGGGTTCGATGCCGGCTCCGGCCTTCCTGCGTGCAGTTTGCATGCATTCTCCCCGTGCTTGCGTGGGTTTTCTCCGGGTGCTCCGGTTTCCTCCCGCATTCCAAAAAACATGCATGTGGCAGGTTAATGGAAAACTCGAAATTGTCGCAAGGTGTGAGTGTGAGCGTGAAAGGTTTGTTCGTCTACGTGTGCCCTGTGATTGGCCGGCCACCGGTTCAGGGTGTACCCCGCCGACCGCCCGAAGACAGCTGGGATAAGCTCCAGCACGCCCCGCGACCCTTGTGAGGGTAAAGCGGATCGGATAATGGATGGATGGATGGATGGATGGACGCTTTCCAAGGAGTTGATACATGACACGACAAATAGCGTGTGCAAGTGATGGGTATCATGATTTGGTTGCTGCAACTCACCTTGAGTTCCACTCTGTGTGCTTGGTGGGAGGCAGTAATCCATAAGTTGGCGAGATGGCTGAAGAGAGTAAAGGACTGGCCACGGAGAAGAGTAGCTGGAAACCCACGAAGCTCCCCGCTACCACAGTCAACTCTCTCATCTCCATCCCTCACCTAAAGACAATAGAAGGACAGACAGAGAGAGAGAGAGAGAGAGAGAGACACGGGGACAGGGCAACACTAAGCATCAATAAAGGCTTCCCTGCACTGAATGACTGCGAAATTCATTCTGTCCACAAGGAACAGATTCATGGGACAACATGAATCCAAAGACGAGGACCCATAAGATAAGTGACCCGAGAGCTTCTGACAAGCCCGCTGCTTTGCAAGAGGCGCAACGAAGACAAACAAGAGAAGAAGAACCATTGAGGACGTTGGCAGAAACAGGAAAATTGTTTTAGGGACTCTGAATAAAGTATGTCGACTGGAGAGCCTCTACCAGTTGTTTCAAGCACTCAGAAAAAAAATGGTGGCGCTCAGGAATACTCAAAGTACAATTTCCAGCTGAACGATTGAAGAGACTACAAAAGCTACAAAGATGAATAGCCTTGAAGTTGTACAGTTCATAAGTCAACCTTTTTTCCCCCGAAAGAGTAAGTGGCACATAAGATGTAGCAGTTGAACTGCAATCATGTATCATCAAAAATAAAATCAAATGATATTATTTGTTCGTACACTTGATGACAGTTCACTGTTTATTGACACCATTGCCACTGTAGCTAATTAAGGTTTGATGATGGCCACATGTACAGGATTCCATTATTTCCTCCGAGGGAACTCAAAATCCGAAACTGGAAGTTGACCAAGGTACTGAAACTCATCTTAAAGGACCCGCCCAACACGTGAACATTGACGATGAACGTAAAAAAAAAATGCGTTAGACAATTGCTGGTCAAATATTTGTTACACAAAACTAGTTTAGCTCGTGAAGCTTCGTGTTAGTGTGAGTTATGGGCCGAGCAACATTCTATTATTCTTACTATTACACAATGACATTTTTGTTTTCTTTTCTCAATTTTGTTGACACGACAAGAAAGGGCGTTTTTGTAACACTTGCATCTATTTCTCTGGCATCTGCATCTGTTTTACCAAACTCACGTTCAATGGGAGTCGACACACAACTGTCCCCATTTGAAGTGCCTATGATTAGAGGTAAAAAGTTTTTGTAGCATTTTCCTGTCATCTTGGTAATACTGTAACGTTTTAGAGCACGGGTCCGTAGTACTTGGACCTCATTGCTCAAAGATTGTATTTATTTTTTTCAATGGGGCTGCACAGTATGGAGGTCATATGGTCAATGGTGGAAAAGGTTCTGAAAAGATTTCAATTGGCCTCTTTCTTTTTTTTTTGGAACCACAAAAGCCTGGCATTTGAACACGGGTGCGATGACTTGTTAAAGCCACTGTGCTCATATTTCGCAATAGCCAGGCAGTAGACGGTATCGCAAGGTACTGATCCATTTCACGTAAACAGTATACAAGAGCCCAGCCTGCAATCTAATCTGTTTTCAGACTTATTAGTGTCTTAAACCCACACGTGCAGACAACTGTTCTAAATTATTTCGGGAGGCCGGCCTTCCTCCGCAGATTAAATATGCAACAGGGGCCTCATCCCATGATTAGATTTTCATCATGGAGTAAAAGTTTAGAATTAACACGTTGCCAGTCCCCCGTTTTCTTCCAAAGATATGGTCTTTATCAGCGATTACAAAACACCTTGACCCTTGCAAGTCTGGACTCTGACCTGATCAATTCTGATTAAACGAGCGACTTTATGTAAGCCATTTTATAAACCACTCAGTTGAGAGAGCTGACGATTAAAGATGTAGAGATACGGACCAAACTTGCGATCGTGATCGTGCCTTTCCATTGTTTTTAGAGTACCTCCAGACGAGCATTTTATTAATGATCGTAAAATCGTGAGCTGTTTTGTTGGGGGTGAAAAATCTAAATCTATTACTGAAGAGTAGATTTTATTGCTACTTGGCAACAACAGAAAATGCAGGTCCTAAGGTGCAAAACAGTCCACAATCACCGCACGGAGGAGACAACTTCAATCGGCATGAATAGTGTAATACCCACAACGCACGTGACTTTCAGCTGTACCATCGTACAGTAATTCCAATTGATAAAACCCGTTCATTGCGCAAGTGCTATTATGTTTCTTCATTAAATACACACAAAAAAGGGGAATCTATGCCGGCTGGAACACAACTGACATTTCACTTCATTGCAATGGGGAAAATTGATTTGACGTCGGGGTACAGTGAGTCACGGAACGAATGAAAGTCAGTATCGGAGGCACCGTTGTAGTGAAGACGAAATATCACATTTAAAATGACGTCATGCGAGTTCCACCGTACAACAGTGAGTCCGACGCAAGCCCTCCTCTATCGAGCTATTCGAATGCACCATTCCGTGGTGGAAATTAGCATGTTCAAGAAAAAAAAAATGCAGAGCCGTGCCTCATGCTCGGAGGAGCCACCACACCACCCCCAGATCCTTATTGTCTGGCAGCAGTGCACATCGGGGGCCACGACGATCCTATGCTGCATGCGTCTGAATAATTCATGGACATTCTTCACCTGGCAAGCTGCTTCGCGCGCAGCTCCCGTGGGAGGAAGCAACGCGGATGCTCCTCACTGCGGCTGACAGCCCGGATAGGAGATCCACTCCCACGTCCACATTTGACCTTGTTCCACATGGCTATCCTGCCGCTGTCAGCGAATCGCCACTCGTGACATATCGACTCGACATAAATAATCGCGGTTCAATTTCCTCCGCGTCGATGGTGGAAATGCAACCTTAGCCGCCGACTCAGCCTCGGCTACACCGCAACACCCAGAGCCTCGCTCTGCCGATGAGGACTCCAAATAATCAGCCAGCCAAATGTGATCAATGTCTTCGCGCAGGGTTGAGTCGAGAAATTTATGCCGATTCATGGTTGGCAACGTATGATTTCAGACAGATACCTCGCGTCGAATATGTATAAAAAAGGCGCTGATTGGAATCGCTGGCGCACCTGTCGTGTGCATGAGCATATTTCTACAAACTATTATTTTCTTGGCAGGTGATGCGACTGCATATTTAAGTATTGCGGTCGGTGGAGATAATAAGGCAGGCGGCGGTTATGTATCGCAGCACAATCAGAACAGAGAGCAGCGCGTGGGGAAAGTCAGTCAGATAGGCGTGGAACGAGTTGCAACAAGGCACCAGCTTGCAAAGCAAGACGTTTTCAGCGGGTAAAGTTGTTATTGCTTCTAATCGCTGTGTGCTCCCGATGTTGTTGCGGTCACTGGCTAGCCGGAAGAAGCGCACAGCCAGCCCAAGATATGTACAGAGGGAAAAAAAAACCCCCACATGAAATTTGACGTCAAATAACCACTTATGTGCTGGCACGTATTGTGTCTGACGTGGTGGTAGTAAGAGCAGCGTTACCTCTGATCCGTCGCATAGGTCTGTGTCGATCGGTAAGGCTCCCGTTTAGCCGCCGTCTTGTCCACTTTCTTACAACTTGACGACAGCTAGCAAGTCGGCTAAACTACGAGCTCGCGAGCTCGCCCGTACGACCCACAGAGAGGGGCTAGAAAAATAATAAATAAATAATAGCCTTGGGGAAAAAAAAAAAAACAGCCTCCTGTGTCACGCAAATAAATCACAGCCACCATTACAACTCGGTAGTAAATATTTTTCTTCCGGTACTTCACTGCAATACGTTTCCATTGAAGGAGTTCGGCGGCGTGAAAAGTTAAAACTCGCTTTATTTTGTTGACAGGCAGGACCGACGCGTGACGTCACAAAGTACACGCCCCCTGCGAAGGCAACGCCCTCGAGGAACAAAGGCCACAGGAATCTTTCAAATTAGCAGCAAGTCATACGTCTGAGAACGAGTGCTGCACCCGTTTCATAGTTACATTGCACAACATTCGTTTAATCATCCTATTCGAATGCATACGTTGGGATACATCGAATATAATGCAAAATACAGTCACATCAATTTGATGTATGACTTTACATTCATGTTGCTCATGGGAAAATTAATCTGATTTGTGTTGCACAGTGTGCCAAGTAACACACATGCAGGCATGCAAGGAGAGATGAAGGCTGGGCAGTGAAGAGTCCTGCACTCCTTGAGGTTAGGGTGGCAGTGGTGGTGTCTTGCTCAAGGGCACCTCAACAGTCATCAGGAAGCAGACCGACCAGCATCTTGCCAACAACATTGCCATTTCAGATGAGCTACAGCCACCCCCTATTTGCATATAAAAAAAATAATTGCTTTTAATTCTTAAACCTGGAAATCAAATGGAGTAAATACATTTTCAAAAGTCAGACTGCCAGTGGTCATTCTGGGAACAGAATTGAAATTTGCCAAACAGTTGTGTGTACATTACTTAAAACAATTCGTACCAATAGCAAAAAAAAATTGCGGCGAAACCTTCTGCGTCCCAATTTTTTCAGTTTCCTATTTTTCCACACATCCTTCATGCCGCGTAACTACATTGTCACATCACTGACATATCTCGGCTTCATGATAAAATACGCTCCGCCTCTGCTTGCTTTCCACGGCATCAGTGAGTGAGCGACGGCATCTGCAAATAGTCAAATTGATGAAATCGTCATCATCGTCATCGCAAAACAGAGAGTCTATCTTCAAACAAGAAATCATGTGACGCAGAACAACTCCCCGTCTCCTCCTAACCGCAACATCATTTATTTATTTAGTCATGCAAACGGCTGTCGATAAAGACGGTAGAAATGTAAGCATTGTGATAATATCACAAGACACACAGAGGCCCGTTACTGCACGTGCACGCACACACGCATGCCTCGATTAGCAACAGCCATAACGGCCCATAAAAAGGAACAAAAATGAAAATGAAAGTAGATACAAGAGTTTGTGAGTTTGTAAGAAGGAAACCGCTGCCTACCTTGTCGTTGACCTGACGCGGAGGCATGGGAAGCATGGAAACTATCGTACGTTTTAAAATGCTTCTCCTGGCACTCCAGATTCCCATTCTTTAACAGTGCTACAGGTGAATTGCAGATGAGACAAACTTTGAAGAATAATTCTAATGATGATGGTAATAATAATAAGATGTATCGCAATAGCTGTGATCGCAAGCCGCAATTGCAGACTCCTGACCGCTGACAACTTCCACTAATGGAGGTCACGCGCAAGCATAGGTTAAAAGTGACCTGCTTTTCTATTAAAATACTAACGTCAGAGGTATAAAACTCCTAAGCTGCAATTGTAAACACCTCTCGAGTGACAGTGTGAATGTGTGTGTGGATGTCGGTTGTTTCTGGTAACCCGTCCAGCGTGGAGTTTGCCTTTTGCAGTCAGTTGGGACAGTAGGATTAGTGGAAAACGGATGGATGGATGAAAAATGGAAAATGTAGACATCGTTTGAAATCCTTTGTATTCTATGAGTGTTGACGTTTGTAGACGACATGAAATGTTTTCCCCTGAAGATGCTTTCCCATTCACAAGCTGCCTTCGGTACCTGACAAGCATGCTCTATTGGGTTGCGATCGGACATGAGCCCGTTCGTTACATGAGCACTGCCTCCACCATGCGTGATGTCATCATGCATTTTGGGTGATCAGCTGTTTTCTCTTTTCTCCACCATACTTTCTTCTGTCCGACGACTCTGATCTGAGAACCTGAATTTAAAAAACAAAAAAATCACAAATCCTACAAAGTCCAATCTGAAGTGTGTGACTTTTTAAATCTTACTCGTCAATGAACCCCACAGGATTGGAATTGAAAATACTGTGTGAGTAGGATCGCCTTTGTTGAGGTCAAAGTCATTTTGTCGCAACAGTTTAAGACTTGCTCGTCTGGTTGTACTGCTTAGAAGAGGTGGAATTCTCAGTCGAATCGGTGTTTCACAGCTCCTTTGTTTTGTGGATGTCACTTATATGTGGCGTTTTCACACCCTCATTTGTCGTTTATAAGCTACTGTCTTTGAACGGTTTTAGTTCAATCCACACTGCAACGAACACATTGCATCGATTATTAAATCAGAATCTGAATCAGTGCGTGAGTGTGTGAGACACAATGAATGCGATCGCTGTTCTAACGATGACAATCCTCACCGCTTTACAAAACACCCTTTGCTAATTAGCGTAGCTCAGATGTCAGTCAGGGAATGGCAGAGTTAAATAATGAGACTCTGGGTAAAACAAACAGCAATTAATATGACAGGAGCAAGGATGCGAGTAGTTTTTGTCTTCTGGCGCATCAAGTTGTAAAGCGTAGCAGCAACTGCAAACGTGAAGAGGGCACAGAGAGGACAGCTCGCAGCTTCATCAACACCATCCTTGTGCAGAAGAAGGCCCAAAGTCAACGACTGAGTGATTGTGAGGAAACAAGCATGATACAATTAGTTCTGTCTGTAATTATATTTCATTATCAATGGAAACATTAACAATGGCTTCGAAAACAAATAGGGCGGTGTTCGATTCCGGCTCCTGGCCTTCCTGTGTGGAGTTTACATGTTCTCTCCGTGCCTGCGTGGGTTTTCTCCGGGTACTCCGGTTTCCACCCACATTGCAAAAATTTGCACCGCTAAACTCCAGATTAGAAAATGGATGGACAGATGGATGCATTAAAAACAAATAGAAAGTGCTCAAATGGGCCATTTTGGTCGTGTGTACCCATCGGAAGGTGTCATATACCTCCCACAAGGGGGCGCTCTATTACTGTACAATGTACGTTACTTGCATTCAATGAGGATGAATGACTTCAAGGCTTCACCCATGCAAGCATGTCTGAATGAAAACAGGTTGCAGACCCCACCAAAATTATAGGACAAATCAAAACAAAGCATCACTTTAACTTTGCCTCTCCAAGTCAATATTAGTTCTATTTTAAAACATATATAGAGGCAGTGGATGTGGTCATCATTGCTCGAAGCCTCCTACAAAAAATGCGGGAATACTTCTCCAGACATCTTTTGGAATGCGACTGATTCATCCTGATTCAATTAATATACCCAACCGCTCTCAACCAATTTTTAATTGACATTCGTCAGCATGGAATTTCATGTCCCAGATGACCTCCTGTGATTAACCTTTAATGATTGCGGTAATGAGAACAACAATGACAGTGTTGTATCAGTAGTGATATTCAATTCAGCAGGCTACTTCTTCTCACTGCAGTCCCGACGGCTGCTCTCATCCAGATGCGAGGCTGCTGAGGCAGGGCAGGCCCAGGCAAGAGTTGTGCAGAAACCTGCATGCCTGCCTGACTCTTGGGGTCAGAGCCTTCTCTGATTGTTCTGCTTGGATGCACCGCACAATCTAATAAAAAAACAACGATATGCAAAGGAGTCAAAAATAATATTCTCCTGGGGTTTTTTTTCTTCTTTAATGCTGTGTTTGCACTTTGTGCAAATAGTGCTTTGATCATTTAAAGATTGGAAATTGGTTAAGTCATCGCTTTTACTTTGAGTTTATTCATTTCAACATTATTTTATTTCCAAAAAGGGGATTATAAAGAATACAAAATCAAATCGAAAACATTTGAAGCAATTACACGCAGTCTCCCTGTTGCAACGCACCTGATTCAAATGATCAGATCATCAGCAAGCTCTGACATTGAACCTGCTCATTTGAATCAGGTGTGTTGCAACAGGGGGACGTGGAAAACATGCAGGACAGCGGCCCTCCCAGACCTGAGTTTGAGACCCCTGGTCAGTATACATAAACTACTTTTAACCTTTTAACATTTAACATTTAACAGCGCCTATGCTGGCTGCAGAGTGCACTCTCATTTCGTCTCAATCACTACCATAATTCGGCAGACAATTTCACGCTCTCAAGAGAATTATTTGCCTTCAATTAATTGATTAATCAATTATTTTACACATCTAAGAAGACAATGTATATAACAAAGTAAATTAAATTTGAACGTTCCAAAAAGTGGAAGTCGTTTAAAATCATTGATAGTTTTGTCGTCTGCTAATGTACACAAGATGGCAGACTTGACATTCCCTACTCGGAACATGACTTCAATTCGGCTCGAGGAGGAGTCGCCGCTTTTATTTTTCTTTCCACAAATGGCTCTTCTATTTGTACATTGAGGAAAAGTATTGCAGCGTTGACCGGAATAAGGAGAGGAAAGTGAGCAAACAGTGTTAAAACTTAAAAGTCTCAGTGGACAGAAGCTATTTCAGCAGAGCCAGATCGGAATGTAATTTGTAGTCACGTAATGTAGGGTTGAATCTCAAGCAGTGTGAAGAAGGCAGCAATTTCTGCCAGTGCGTGTGTGTGTGTGTGTGTGTGTGTGTAAGATAGAGGGGCGGGGAGTTGTCAGAAAGAGAGGGAATGGGGGGGAAGCAGGGTGCCTTAAATTTGTGCTGTGCCATGCGCATCTCATTCTTCACCCACACAAGCAACT